TAAGCCACGAGCAAATTGAAAAACTTTGTCTAGGTCGGAGACTGGCCTTTTGATGGCGGCAAGGTTGTCGCATATTAGCTTGAATTCTTTGATGTATTCTTCTAAGGATCGTGATCCCTTCTTGATGGTCATCAACATGTTCTTGAGCAGGCCTTCCTTCTCGATTGTGGTTGGAAGCAATTGCTTTTCCAACGAACTCCAGAGAGTGAAGGCCGTAGCATCCTCATCAATAGACGGTTAGGCTTATTCATTAATTGTGCCGAGAAGCCAAGAGATGAGTAAACCATCATCGGTTTCCCATGTAGTAAAGTCAGGATTCACAGACTTATCTTCCAATTGTGCCGCTGGTTTTCCACCCCCTTGTTGAAGGTGATGGAGCACTCCGAGACTACGAGAAAGATGAAGGATCTGTGATCGCCACAAGAGATAATTGTTAGAACTTAGTCTGATTGAGACTAAACTAGCACATTAGTGAAACGATTGGATACTAAGTGTAGGCTCTTTCATTTTGGTAGAAAGAAAGGTGTTTGTGTTTGGGGCTTGCAAGTTTCACGGCTTTGATACCATGTTAGTTTACCAATCCATCCCAAAAGCTTAAGTTTTTAGGAGGTGAGCCAACAATAGTTTAATACTTTAACACTCTCCCTCACGTGTGGGCTGGACAATGGGCAATCGTGTGGGTAAATTAATTGAAAAGCCCAACACGTGAATATTTAAGTCCGAGATATATTAAAGACCCAACACATGATGACAATTTAAATGGGGATAAAGAATGCAATTACGGGGGTTTGAACTCAGGACCTCCCGCTCTGATACCATGTAAACACTCTTAAGTTTTTGGTGAAAAATGGAAGCATACGACCTTCCTTGATTTCATTGATATTTATACACAAGTGGTTTGATATAATTACAAATGAATCAAATTAATGCTGATATATCCTAATTTCATTACGTGATGGAACTTTCCTTATTGTTTTTAGAAGACCCAATATCAAAGGGATTGCTCTGAGTGTTGACGATTGCATTGCTGATTGCTTGTGATCTGTCACTGACTTTGCCTTTTGCAAATCTTTCCTTATCATATAGTAATCCCCTTCTTAAGTTCCCTGTGCATTTCGTGGCCATCCAACAAGATCAGGAGCAGTCAGAATGAGAATTGAAAAAAAAAAAAAGAAAGAAATAACCTATCAACATACTTGGAACCTCCTTTTTTCCCTCTCTGCTTAGTTTTCTTGTGAGTTTTTCTTTTGGGTTGCAAAGGAATACGAGTCCTGACATTAAATTTAGAGGAAATCATCAAGCCAACAGAGCTGGCCTAGATTGAGACAATAGACCAATAAAATTGACAAAGATGAATTAAAAGCAACCTGAAAGCACTTATTTGCCCATTGTTTTGTTATGAAACACACATGAACTGTAGACTTTGGTTTTGAAATTCGTCCCTTTTTCTTTTATTTCTTTTCTGCAGTCTTGGTTTCTTTTCCCATGTTTAGCACCTTGTTTTTCTTTTGAATTTATCATGGAGGACTCGATTTTATTACAACAAAAATTTTATGAGTATTTTTCAACTTTGATATGTATAGAGAAACCCAATAGAAAATTTCCATGTTTGTCAAATGGGTATTTTGATTTTCATTGAGACTTGTGAGGGTGAGCAGCCATTGAGAAAGGGGATGGGGAGATCGTATGCCGGAGGCTGGAGGCTAGATCCGTCGGAAGGTAGTTGCCTTCACGTCATTGTGGGGAGAAGAGATGGGGCCACGGTGGCCCTAATCAGCCCTAATTGGTCCCTTTTTTTTCACCTAAGTTACTTATTTGCCCTGGGATTGAGTGTCACGTGTCAAGAACGTGATACTTACCATTCAATATTTAACAGAGGGGGCAAATAAGGAGAAAGCGTGATAACGACGATTAGTCCAGGGGGAGAATTTGATATTTTTAAAGTTTAGGGGACATATTTGTAACACGTCAATAGTTCAGGTGGCATAAGAGTAATTTGTCCAAAAGAATATGTGTCAAGATAACAAGTGACAAAAAAAATTAAGTGGAGACACATTTGAAAAAAAATTATTTTAATCAGGTAAAAATAAAATAGGAACACATGCGAAAAATTACTCTTATAAGAGTAAAGTGTGAAACAATATATTAAAAAACACACAAAAAATTAAAATGTAAAAAATCACACACACAAAAATTGAAGAAAAAAAGGATAGAAAAGAGATAAGTGGAGGGAGTGTCACGTGGCAGCTCCATAGAAAAGAGTTTTGACTCTTTTATGTATTGTTAGATTAATGATCTATTGATTTTTTTTAACCAAATAGAGATTGAAATTGATGTAAAATTGAGTGAAATCTTTTTGGTAAGTAAAATTGAGAGTTAAATCTTGTATCATGATTAATATATATATCTCGGTGACATGTGAATTTGTAATTAATTGAAAAGCTGAGGTGATAATCACCAAAATAGCAGTGTTGTACTATTATTTACTTTTTTAAATGCAGTGTTGTACTATTATAGCTATTAGGGGTGAAAGTCAGTTGGGTCGGGTCAGTTTTTGGGTATGTTTTGGGCCGGCCCGCAATAATCGACTTGAGAAAACGTTAGGCCGCAACATGTTAATTAATCCCATAACCCATATACCATTCGGTTACCTCGGGTAACCTCAGGTCGGCCGGGTTACTTCGGGTAAACCAACTCTAAATTTGCTTATTTCAGCTGCTTTTCCATCGGTAAACCAACTCTAAAACGGGTGATTCTTTGCTGAATTGCTGCTTTTGCATGAGACCATGGGTAAACTATGGGAAAGAGTCTAGAAATTAAAAGATTTCACATACAGAAGCAATGAACAAAGAGTCCAGAAATTAAAAGATTTTAAACATTTTGAATGAGAGTTCAGGTCCAGCAATTAAGAAGTCCATAGTACAAGTCCATTACACATACATATCCAATAATCCTAATTAGCAATTACTAAGATATGTAATAAAAAAAGTGCAACAAACAGTCCACACTAAAAAGTTCAAGTCAAAATAAAAAAAAGTAATGAATTCAACACTATAAGCAACTGGAATTCCCTAAATTCACTCAAGAACGATAGCCTTGACACCTCCATTTCTAGCTTATCCTTCATGTGTTGGAACAAAAGTTACCAAACCTTGAGAGAAAAACATTAACAAAAAAAAAACAAAAAAAACCCTAAATTTCGGGCCGGGTAGGGTTAATCAGGGTAATGGATCTTGGGCCCGTGACCCTACCCACCCATTGCGGGCTGGGCTAATTTTAAACTGGAAAAAAAAAAACCTTAAATTTTCGGGTAGGGTAGGGTAGGGTCGGGTAGTCGGATTCGGGGTGATTCCTTTCACCCCTAATAGCTATAAACAAACAAGAAGACGATCTTTTTTTGTGAAATTTCAATATTTTACTATCACAATTTACATATATATGTTTTAATTTTTATCTTCAATATTGATATTAGTCAAAATTATTTGCATATCAATTATTATCCAAAAATATTTATGTAAATTTTAATTTACCCTCAAATTTTCTTTCAATACCAATCCTTTCATCTTTAATCCTTAATGTATACGTTGATACTCTCTATTTATAGTCAATTTTTGTTTTCAATGATTTTGGATGTATCACCTAATACTCTCTATTGATAGAGACATTGTAATTATCGTGTTTTTGGTAACTTTGCAATTATAGTCTTTTAAACTACATATATAGTCTTTTAAATCTGTAGATACATTACAATTATAGTCTTTGCTTTGCCAAGCCACTGTGGAAACGCTAAATGAAAATGTGGGTGGCAAAGTGCAAAAATTGGAGAGCCTAAATGAAGGCATCTTTGATATGAGGAAAGTAAAAAGTAATTGAAGACTTCTTCGGGGTTGTTCAAAACTCAGAAAAAGTTTAAACTCGAGTAACAACTTTATTTAAGTTCATGTTTTTTTGTAAAATTTAAGTTTGAACTCAAATTTGAACTCAAGTTTGGGACTAAACTGAAGTTCAAGTTTTTTTTTCAACTCGAGTTCAGAAACTCGAACTCAAATTCAAATTAATGAATAATATTTTTTTTATTCTTAAAAATGTCATAACTTTTTCGTTTTAATTCTAATTGAGATGATTTTTTTTCTATGCATTCACAATGAAAAGACGAATAAAACCCCACCCATATACCCTAATAAAATTTTTCATTACCATTGAGTTTTTATTAAAATATTATCTAAATACAAATTTAAGTTTTGACCCACACAAACACAAACTTAAGAAGATTCTCAATTCAAATCATAACTCAAATGTGCACATCCAAACACAAACTCAAGTTACAACTTTAATTCAAGTTATAACTCAAATTCAATTCAAAATCATCACTCAAATCACCATAACTCAAAAATACAAAAGAACAACTCCTTCATTTTTTACCTTATTGCCATTACTTAACTCAACCAGACCTTATTTTTCTCGAATTTGCTTTAACACTTGGGACAATTTTCAATTTCCAACTTGTAAAACCTTCTCTCTTAAACCGCGATAATATTTTAATGGTTTAAAGTACGGCTTGGACATTTACACTTACTACGCTTTACTCTTTACACAGTGGTGAAGTAAAGTATAAATTCTCCTCAATATAATATTTAGAGGCTTTGCTTACAAAACATAACACGTGTACTTCTTTTTAATGTATTTTTTTTCTTTTCTCCATTTTCTTTTCCAACATATATAGAGAGTGATTGAACTTCTTTGGTCTTCAAAACAAAGTGGAAAAATAAATTTTATGTACATAAAATCCCAGCTGGTTAGCTAAGACAAATTAATTAATGGTAATCATATATTAGCACTAAAGTGAAGCTGATTCGCGCTTTAATCGTTAATAATTGGAAGTTGAACTTTATTCCATGAGTAAGCACATTGGATACTACTCTTCAGATATTCCCATCTCCCTAAATGTATGGATAAATATAGGTTGTGAGAACTATACATCTCATCCTATAATTGACAGACATAAATGAACTAAGAGACGATCAGTGAACTTTGATCAAGAGAGCCCTATTCCAGAAGATAAGGTCGCCATATTGAGGTATGATTGATTATCTCATTAAATGTCACTAATTAACGTAGATTATCTGCTAATTACGCTATGTTTCACGTATTGTATTTTTTTCTTACTACATAAAATTAATAACTTTATAAACTCCGCTTGCAGTATCATACCACTGCATAACGATGGTCTTACATAAAATTTTGGCCCCCCTAATAATTAGATGCTGAAGCAAGACAATTAGCCCCGTTCTTTTTACTGATTCGAGTTTAGAATTCGAGTTTTACTACAGTAAAAAGCTCTCAGAAACAGTCACATCTATCTTTTTTGTTACAGTAAAAAGCTCTCACACAACATCACATCTCAACTCAAATTAAAAACTCGAATTAGCGAACCGAACGAGTAGTGTACTTAAAATCTCTTTTAGCGTATTAGTTATACTATAATCGATATCATACGATCATTAACTCTCTCTTTTTGTTTCTGCCCTTTATTGTTAGGTTTACCGGAGCATTTAAGTTAATAGCCATTTGGCATCATCAATTTCAATATTAAAACCCTCCGTTAAACTGTAGATTTCTTTAAGTCCGAACGTATATATTGTATATTATTACAGTCCTCACACTCTACTTTTTTCTTCTACTTTGTTTTTTGTTTGTTTTCTTTTCCCTCCACTATGCAATCATGAAGATTAGGACACACAATGGCGGATAATATTGATGCTAGATCAGGAGATCACATTGTGATTGACGTAAAAGCACGGTTGAAAGAAAATCTGTCGGGTAATTTGGCCATGTCACCCAATAGCAGCATCTTCAAAGTCCCAACCATACTCTCTAGGCACAGGTTACAGGCTTACCAACCAAACGCATTTTCCATCGGTCCCTTCCATCACAATGAAAAACAACTGAAACCCACCGAAAAGATCAAATTCAAATATTTGCTTGACCTTACCTCTCGTCTTTCAGATCCAAATTACAATCCAAACCCCACAGATCGTGACACGGCTTTGAGTAACTTAACCGAAGCCATTCACAAGGTTCGGAACGAGGCTAGGGAGTACTATGCCGGACCAATTCCCGTGGAAGCAGACAAATTTGTAGAGGTTTTGGTACTTGACGGTTGCTTCATCATCGAGCTTTTCCGCAAGAAGGAATACAAGAGTCTCAAAGGGGAAAACGACCCAATATTCTCTATGTCCTGCCTTCTCCAATTTCTATCACATGATTTGATATTGCTAGAGAACCAAATACCTTGGATGGTGCTTGAAATTTTGTTTAACTTGACTATTACTTCTATAGATGATGTTCAGAAGCCCCTTGTTGACCTAGCCATTAAGTTTTTTGGTGCGGTTTTCTCAACTACGCAACCTTCCACTGATCGTCTTCGTTCTATCCAGAGCAAACACATTCTTGATCTATTGAGAAATTCATTGGTTTTGGCTTCTCAAATAAAACAAGATCATTTCGCCGGTAAGCTCGAGCAAATGCGTTCAGCCACACGTTTGGATGATTTTGGGATCAAATTCAAGAAGGATGAGAACGCTGAATCTATATTGGATATCAAGTTCAATGCAAAAGGTGAATTGATGATTCCACCCCTTTTAATTCAGGAGACAACCGAAACTGTGTTTCGAAACCTCATCAGCTTGGAGCAGTGTTGCCTTGATTATGAGCCTAAAATCACTTCCTATGCTGTGCTGTTGGACAACCTCATCAACACTAAAGATGACATGGAATTGCTTTGCAAGAGTGAGGCCATTAGTAAATGGCTGAATGTTGAGGAGGCGACCAAATCATTCAACAATCTCTACATTGACACATACCTCAAAGAATCCTTTTACCTCAAACTTACTCGTGATGTGGATAAATACTGCCACGACAGATGGCATAGATATTTAAAAGCACTTATGCGTGAGCATTTCAAGCACCCATGGGCAGCTATTTCGGTCTTCGCGGCATCTATCTTACTGTTTCTTTCCTTACTACAAACCGTGTTCACCATTATGGGATATTATAAAGCATAGATTGCATGTCCTTCATACTTGCTTGTAGTGCGTGTGTTGATCAAGAATATATTTATTCATGATCAGTAAGAGGATAATTATTGATATTAATTTGTTTGGCAACATCTGATGTTATCATCATGCGTTTTCAATATAGTATTTGTGTGTTTCTTTTAATGTACTATTTTTCAACATCTCTCTACTTCTTCATCAACCAAAGTTTGAGGAATGAGAAAAGAATATCTTCATGTAAGGTAAAAAAGATTGAGGTATTATTTGTCCCCACTCAAAGATTTGGTAGTAGCAAGATTAGTACTAGCAAAGCACCCGAAAGATACGACAAAATTAGCAAGATTAATACTAGCAAAGCACCCGAAAGATTCCCGTAAGCAACTTTTTTCCTTTTGAAGTTACTCCTTTACTTTTTAATTGTTGAATTAATTTTTTAACAATTAGATATGTGCATGTCCGTGTTAAAAAGTTACATCGCGCGACACACGACGACTTCTACTCCATAATGGACCGTTGTAAAACTAATCCAACGACTAATTAAAATGCAGTTCTTACCTGTGAAGCAAAAATGCATGTCCTACTATGTTCCCCAACTATTTTGCACATGTAAAGCCCTAAATTAACTTCAAAACGTGAATTATTCTTGAGACACAAAAAAAGGTGCAGACATATTGTGAGTAGTACTGCAGTGTTTGATAATTTGGTTCACATATACATGCTCCTTAATGCTTATTCAATGTCTCTTCCAAAATTAATTAGTTTCGAACATTTAATCCTGTGTGTATACCTTTTATAGAAGGAACCTCTGTTTGCTTTAACTGTTTTCCATGCAACTTTTCTCTTACTCAGATGGTGGCAAATTAAGTGATGAATTTTTTTAGCTCAAAGGAAAGAATGAATGTTGGCCATTTTAAATCTACATGTAAGTTTTTTCACCAAGGTGAAGAAAAGCACAACTTCTCTACATAGATGACTGTTTTTTTTTGTTCCAACTGGTTAGAGCTACTGTTTATTTGTGTAAATAAAAGAACGGGGACATTATAAAGTCTCTATAAAAATATACCATCTGGCTAATATATGCAAAGAGAAGTAGTAAATAAAATTAAATTAGTGCTAAAGTGAACTTCGTATATAATTCGTGTTTCAATGATCGATTAACATAAATTGGGATTTTGTTCACTTTTTTCCTCCCTTTTTTAAAGAACTTGGTCGTGCTTTGTACTTTATATGGTTGCACTTTATTCTATGAGTAAGCAAGGAGATCTCTTCAAAATATGCCCCATATACGTAGTAATTTATGTATGGAGCTACAAGAGAGATATATATATAAGAGAGAGAGATATATATATATATATATATATATATATATATCTCTCTCTCTCTCCCTCATGCTTGCACATCCACATATATAAGTCGTGGAGGCTGGACTTCCAATCCAAGTTACAGCCGTGGTTATCATTTAAGGTATATATATTTATGATTTTCTCTCAAGTTTAGTTTCGATTTTTTAATTATGTATTTTCTTTTTATATTTTCTTATTCTTTTTCCGTAAATTTCATGTCATTATACTATCTATACTATGATGGTTTGTGCGCAAACGCGCGCTTTTGTTCTCGTAATATGCTGAAGGAAGATAGATAGATACACTTTTTATTTTCATTAAAAGTGGAAAATACATACACTGGATATATATATATATATATATATAATTAGAATAGAGACTATACATAACCATAGCATCTTAAATAAAAATATTCCGAGTCGTAAATATGTTTAGCAAATTTTTGTGTGTATGTATACATATTACAACTATTTTTGAAGTTTAAATGTTCAATTGTATCTTTCATTCTTACAAAGAGCCCTTGGTTTGATATTCTGTTTTTTTTTTCCTAAATAAGTATTGAAGATTATTACAAAGAGACATATAAAATGGCTGCGGTTGGAGGAGATCATGTTATTGATGTAGAGGCATTGACAAAGAACATCGAAGGAAAGCTGTCGGGTGAGCTGTCCATGTCACCTCTGTGCAGCATCTTCAAAATCCCAACTATACTCCTTAGACACAATCAAAATGCTTATGCACCCAACGCCTTTTCCTTTGGTCCCTTCCACCACAATAAAGAAAACCTGAAACCCACAGAGAGGATCAAAGCCAGATATTTGCGCGACCTTATCTCTCGTCTAATTGATTCTGATCCAAATAACCCGAATCCTAATATGGATCCTGTTCAAACGAGGACGTTGATGATCAAGACTCTCACCGAAGCCATTAACAAGAAGCGGAAGGAGGCTCGACAGTACTATGCTGGACCAATTGGCATGGAAGAAGACAAGTTCGTCGAGGTTTTGGTCCTTGATGGTTGCTTCATCGTTGAACTTCTCCGCAAGAAAGCATACGAGGGTCTTAGAGATCGAGAAAACGGACAAGAAAGAGACCCAATATTCTCCATGTCTTGTCTCCTTCAGTATCTTTGGCATGACTTGTTATTGCTAGAGAATCAAATCCCTTGGATGGTGCTTGACATTTTGTATGGGTTGACAACGACACCTATTGATGACGAGAAGCCTCTCGTTCAACTAGTCATCGAGTTCTTTGGTAACATTTTCTCAACTTCACCACCTCCTATCGAACCTCTCCTTTCTAGTCCACATCCTGGCAAACACATTCTTGATTTGTTGAGAAATTCATTGGTTTTGAATTCCAGTATAATACACCAGAATAAAACTAATTCGGACACCATCTCATGTGAGCTGGAGCCTATGCGTTCAGCTACGAGTCTCGAGGAATCCGGCATCAAATTCAAGATGTGTGCCTCAAAATCCATCTTGGATATTAAATTCCACGAGAAGCAAGGTGTTTTGGAAATTCCAACTCTCTTCATCCAAGAGACGACGGAAACTGTGTTTCGAAACCTCATCAGTCTGGAGCAGTGTTGCCCTAATTATGACCCCATAATCACTTCCTACGCCGTTCTGCTGGACAACCTCATCAATTCTAAAGACGACATGGAAATACTTTGCAAAAGCAAGGCCATCTATAACTGGCTGAACATCGACGACGCAACAAGATTCTTCAACAAGCTTTACATTGACACTTTTGTGAAGGAAACATTTTATATAGAACTCACGCATCAAGTGAACGAATATTGCCGATATCCTTGGCATAAATACCGAAGAGTGCTTATGCGTGACTATTTCAAGCATCCATGGGCTTTTATTTCGGTCATTGCTGCTACTACTGCACTGATTCTTACCTTCTTACAGACCTTATTTCCCATCATCAAGCCATAGATTGTAATAATACAGGACATTGCGTGTGATAAGAAATGTACTTTTTTCTTTATCAATGAAGAATCAGTAATATTGTAAATCATTTTCCTTGATTTGTTGTGCCACTTTTTTGTGATGTTTGATGTTGTTGGGAATAGTGTCCTAAAACAATAAGATGTAATAGGATATTTATTATTTAATTAATAAAAGAGTTTATTCATCATTTTATGTGCATATATTTATGAATATTTTATGAATATCAAATGAAAATTTCGTGATTATTTATGTAACCTTAAACATAGTATATAAGTGTTATATACGAGAGGTAGTGTTTAAGGATAATAATCAAAAACATTGTTCATAATGAATTTAATTAAAGTTCGGAATCTTTAATTAAAACATTATTAATACATGTCATTCCCATTTAGAATGGAACGGTGCTATCCGCACTGTTAATATGGTGAGATATTGAATAAGTGTATTTCGCATAATGAGATTGTGTGGAACAGGGACACAGACACAATATGAATTTTTAATAATTTCTGTTAAGCATAGAAATTCTAATTGAGTCTACCGTTGGTCACATATAGAATAATCTTAATCCTGAGTTCTTAACAAACTCCTATTTATGGATTTATGTCTTTTGATTTACTCGGTACGGATTCTGAGACCCTGAATCCTATTCCTTGTATTTTGGAGACATGATGAAATAAGTAGCTGAGAATGTTATTATACGAGATGGAATCCATTCCTTCTTGAGAAAGAAGTAGATAAATAATTCTCTTGAGTGTTGATTCGGTACTTGGATTAGTAAGAGTGCTCTGGTTCATGAATGTGTTTTATGAATCACTATCCATTAGAGAATCAATGGTACTCAAGGATGAAGATAT